CAGACTAATGGAACAGCAGGGGCCAGCGGGACCACTGACACAAAGACAGCAGGAACCACCGGTAAGTTCTCTGTAAATGGAAACAAATTTTTAATGAAACATCTGCATTTCGCTGACATTTTTTTATCCAAATTTTCAGACCCAGGGTCTCTAAATTGGAGGGACCACAGAAACATGCCAACCCACACACTGGAGAGAAATCAAGAGATAACCGACTAACCAGCACAGTTATAGTCCTGAACCCTAACCCCACAGCCACATTACAAACACATCACAGAAAACAGACGTTACCAATTTCAAAGGCAGAAAGCAAGAAATAGGACAAACCACGCACAACATCCCATTGCACAGAACCCCACACTTTACATCGGTCCAAATGGACAGATGGATGGAAAGAAGGAGGATGGGTATAGGAAGGAAAGTTGGCCCTGTCCTCTGCCAGCCTGAGCCACCATCAACACCTTGTCCTCATGGCAAGCCTCACTTATCTTGATACAGTCTTAAAGGAATAAACTTTTTTAGTTAAGTTGTCTCTCATTAATGGAATCTGCATTAATCTGACAAGAACTTTTCATCTTAAGACTTTCTATCGACTCTAGCTACTGTTATTTACATTTTGTTTTGTAAGAGTTTGGATTCTGTATGTTTTTACTATTGTTTTCTGTCATTACCTACAAAGGAACTGACCATTCACAAAATACTCACATTCCTCTGAGTGTAAAAATGTTCAAACTTGTCGTGTCTTAGCCCAAAATTTAAAACAATGCCACATGCTGTAGTTTGTAGCCTTGAAAGCAGCAGACTTGCTAGGGTTCATCTGTGCTGATATTACCTTGACCAATATTTGGAGTTTAAATATTAGAGGTGTTGATTTGAAGCACATTTGTCTTGTCTTCAAGCTAATAGGATGTCAAATGATAAGCACTTACTTGTGTTGATTTTTAACACTGGTGACTTCGTTCTTCAGTCTGTAAGCTGATTTGACACCCTGCTCTTTCCAGGATGCAGACACTTTAAGACCCAGTTAAGAAAGTACTAGGCTACTTCCCACTATTAAGTGAACCCTATACAGGAAGCTGATGAAATTGCTCTTTCCTGCGTAGAATGCAGCAGTTTAAGGACCATTACAGTGAAACTTTTCTCTTGTTTACTATAGATTGTGTTTACGTGTTAGTTCGATAATTTGGGAAATACACTTATAGGCTTACTTGCTGAGAGTTAGATAAATTAGAACAATATCACTTTCATATGTTTCTGTTAAATGTAGCTAGAGCAGGGTGCCCGGTTAGCTCAGTGGGTAGAGCTGGCGACCCATGTCCTGAGGCTGAGTCCTTGCCCTTTGCTGCGTGTCATCCCCCCTCTCTCTGCCCCC